GTGATAATGTCCTAGCTTCAACACTAGGGATTGTGGATATGTTGCAGTCATGAGTGTGTCTCTCTAGGTTACACATTTGCAACTGCCATGCAGGATTTCCACCCATGACTATGCCAGGATAGGATGGAGACATATGTTTCCTAGAACTTCTCCTCATCCTATCTGTATTTCCCCCCATCCTGCTTTCCTATTGGGTTATGAGACTTTGTGTTTGTTTAGCTGTGCTTGTTTTGGTATACACTTTTTACTAACGTATCCACTTCCAAACCAATTCCTCTGAATGTGTTCACATATACATTTTGCCTGTTACATATAATCAGGAGTAGGGAGGAGTCTGCTCCTTGTGACTGCATTTTAGTGAAGGCAAATTGGGTATGTGCACACTTTTGCTAATAGTTTCGCAGTTTCCAAATTGGATAAATTCCCTTTTTTACAAAATGGTTCATATGAATTTCTTTTCTATCCCTAGTACAAAATAAAAATCTTTCTGTACTCCCTGTCCTGTCCTGTCCAATTCAACCCTGCTGCTTTAAATTTCTGCCTTACTGCTGTTTCTTGTTGAACTACTGTGACTGTATTTTATTTCTAATTTTGCAAACCACCCTGGAATCTCTATGATGAACAGCACAGAAACCCCCAATTGCAAACAGGGCACAGTGTGATCAAGTGTTTCAAGAAGGCAAGTTCCATTCTGGAGTTTTGCCCCTTTCCCAGCCTCCTTTTGATCTTTTGATGGGAAAGGGTAGTAATGAAGTAGCAGTATGCAGCTGGAATCCTCTATGGCTGTTATGAATGCGTAACCTAGAGTTACACACCTGTGACTGCTATGTGTTCATGATCCCTACATAGCCCCCAGTTTAGGGGCTATGTAGGTACTGTACTGTGAAAATCCCTGACTCCCCACTTACCAGGCAGCAGAAGCTGGGATCAACAGGGGATCTGTTCCCCTGCTGTTTGGGAAACAGCTGGCTGACAGTCCCCCCACCTCTGAGCAAGTAATCTTCAGCATGAAGGGAATTGTGACAGGGACACTGTTCCAATGGAAATCACTCACAGTGAGTAGAAATGGCAGTCAGCTGCTTCCTGAGTGACAGGGAAACAGACCCCCAAGATCAATCAAGGTGGCTGTTTCCCAGTAAGTGGGGATGAGGGGAGGGGGAGGTCAGGTTGTATATCACTGGAACTACAGTGCTTAGGCATACATATATCCCCCATACAGGATTCTGGCCCATGTGTTTTCATTGCAGAGAATTCCTGGTATCTCCATTTAGAGCTGTGAAAGATACCTGTCTGAAAACCTGGAGAGGTTATGGCCATCAGAGTAGAGAAGACTGAACTAAATTAACTAGTGGTTTGACTTAGCATAAGGCAATTTCCAATATTCCCTTTTTGAGGTAAAGGAACTGGAACACTTCACAAATGAGGTTATCCCACCTTGAAAATATATATACCTTGATATTGCCATTTTATACAAGGGACACCATTTCACCACCCCACTGTATATAATGGGGCTTGAGCATCCACAGATTTTGCTATCCACAGGGGGTCCTGGAACCAAACCCCAGTGGATACCAAGGGCCCACTGTAGAAATGCATTAAAATCAGCAGCTTTTTCCTCAAGCATTTTTCTAAAGCACCTGGCAGAGAAGTTGTCCTTTCACAGCACAGGTTGAGTTACATCTTTGCGGTGAGTCTACCCACTATCACTTCAAGGGGAATGTCATTGCCAATTCAGAACCTGTTAATGTATAATGTGGGCTTTCTGATTGAACTTGCATCACATTCCAGTTACTTACCCTGAACTCCATTTTGCCATTGGGTTTCCCATTAAACCAGTTAGAACAGATTCTCTTGGAGCTCTCTGTAGTCTATTTAGGTTGTCTTCATCCTGAATAATTTAGTGCTGGTGGCAAACGTTTGTGCTTCAATGCTATCTTGTAAACTATCTTCATGCAAAGGGAAAAGAACTGTCATTGCTTTAGCCCACTATGATTAGGAACTTCAGTCTTGAGATCCTAGGATTTAATGGTCTACAGAAATCTGACAAACTCACTGCAATGAAAGTTATGGCTAAAAGTGCTCTTCACTAATAATACTTTAAAATCAGATCTATGTCTCTGGGAAATTTTTGGACAAAATATTTAATCCTATACATAGATACATTTTCTAAACATACATACATGAATCTATCCAACCTGTCGACACTCAAATACAGGATGCTTCTTCTTTATTGGAAGAGTAACCATGACAAGCAAAGCTATATAAAATCTCCTTATATATACCAAGACACAGAAACAGTATATGTGCCAGTATATACCTTTGTTATTGTTGTGTACCTTCAATTCATTTCTGGCTTATGGCAACTCTAAGGCAAACCTACCATGGTGTTTTCTTGTTAGAATTTGTTCAGAAGGAGTTTGCCCTTACCTTCTTCTGAGGATGCAAAAATGTGACTTGCCCATACACCACAAGGCACATTCCACAAAGCTATGCACTATCTAATCAAGTAAGCTTGTAACACTAGGATACATGCAAACTGAGGAAATGTATTTTCACAGTTGCAATTGCTGTGGTGGAAAAGAAATTTCCTTGTTTTCCTACTGTCCTCTTTTACATTTCACTTTCTACCACTCCCTTGGTGACTGCATAGAAACAACAAATATTCAATCAATCCCCCAGAATACATTTTAGAAAGAAAGCCATCCCCCCCCCCCCCCCCCGCGAGAGTTCACTGATCAGCAATAAAATATCTCTTTTTACATATTTTTCTGCAGTGGCAGATAGATGGAGGTCTTTTACAAGGCACTTAGCAATGGAACCCAGGTAACACTAATATATAGATAGTGTATATAATGGCAAAAAACCAAATCTGGTGATTAAAAGATCTTGCTGAATTTATACCCGCTCACCCTGACCATTCTAGACTCAAGTACATCCAAAAGGAAGAGTATTAAAATTATCTCTTATTCTTGCCAATACAGTACTGCATTTGTCAAATCCACATAGTGCTGTTGTACAAAATCTTTACCATCTTTGAGGAGTTATACCAGTATATGGCATTCCTAGACAGAACTGAGTGGGCCTACAACATCACAGTTACTTCCTATGCCTACTCTTCTCACTCACTTGCTTATTGTTTTCCGATTTGCCCACACAGAACCCAAAGCCTACTAAAATGTGATGAGAAAAACTGTCTTGCTATAAACCAGAGGGAGGGGGAATCATGCAACCCTCCAGATGTCATGGAACTGGAATTCCCAGCATCCCCAGCCTATGCTAGCTAGGGCTGGTGAGAGTTGCAGTCCCATGCTTTCCAGAGGGCCACATGATTCCCACCCATGCTATAGGAGAACATAATGCAAGAATCCTAATTACCAACACTATATTATGACCTGTTCTTATCAAATGTGAGCAGCCATTTCCCATCAGTAACTATCTTACTAGTCAATACTCATTCAATCAACAGTTAAACTGTAATAATTCCACTCTATTTCCTGAAGCATAGAATACCAATTATTGGCAATCAAACAATTAAGATCCTCTCAATCCAAATTACTTTTTGGCAGCTCTAGTGGAGCTGACAGGAATAATGTTCGTTGGACCTAGCTATGCTTTCAAACCTGGGCTATTTAGCACCAGCCAAGGACTGTAGCCAATTTGCTAAAAAAAAAATTCCATTAAATCATTGGAGGACTCTGAAACCTAAAAATTAGGGCTAATTATTCATTGGGTAAGTCTGAGTCCTTTATGAATAACTGGATCAAGGAGTAGCAGAATTTTTTTCTTTAAAAAAGAAACTAATGTGATCAAGGTTAGAGTTCTGCCAGTGTCACACAATGCTGTTTGAGGGCAGGTTTCAGAAGTGCTTTGGTTGAGAGTCATCATATCCCCACTGTCATTTATCTGCCTCACTCAGAGAAGGAGGCCGTAGATGTGACCGAATGCAGAACTAGGTATTGCTTTTAACTACCTGGTTTTCTGAGGACCCCTGAGCAATGAAACTTTCTAGATATCAGTTATGGAAGAGGTGCTGTAAATCTCAATCTGAATATGACCAAAGTGAGGGAAGAGCATACACCATTGTGCCTACTGTGGGGCAGTGGTGGCAACAAAGAAAGCCCACTCCTTTGCCACCATCATGCCTTTGGTAAATTACATCGGTGTGCAATGTACAGTGGGCACTTTGCTGGCTCTGCTACATAACAATGTAACAGCAGTTCTCTACTAGATGTAGATGTTCCAAAACTGCCCAATTCCTTCATACTTACATCTACTTACAAAGATGTAACTCCCATACAAGAGCCAGTGTGACATAGTGGTTTGAACATTAGATTAGGACTCTGGAGACCAGGGTTTGAATCCCAGCTTGGCCATGAAAACCCATTGGGTGACTTTGGGCAAGTCACACTCTCTCAGCCTCAGAGGATGACAGTGACAAACCCTCATGAAAAAAAGTGCCAAGAAAACCCCATGATGGTTTTGCCTGAGGATCACCATAAATTGGAAACAAATGGAAGGCACACAACAACAACAGTTCCCATACAGGGTTCCAGTCATGGCACCAGATGGGCTCTTGGAGGAGCTATGTGCTGATTATGTAAAGCCTTTTGAAGGCAAAGCCATGCACAGACACACCAAAACTGACTCCACAAGTGTTGCTTGTCTTACTGAAATATTCAGAGCACCACCTGGTCATGAGCTTTGGGGTCAATTTGAGTTCTTAACCTGAAGATAAGACAAGATGGTTCTTAGGGTTAAGGAAACCACATGCATTCTTTTTTTTTCATATTTTATTTAATTGAATTTTTATACAATGTTAAAAAGAAACACAACATAAATTCATTACTTCTCAGAAGGAGTTCCCAGTTATTTAACTTAAGAGGAGTATTACAATTGTATATCTCAATTTCCATTTACATAATGCAAGAATCCTAAAAGGTTGCCAACCTTCATTATGTAAATGAAACCACATGCATTCTTGATATCTTCTCTTTATGGCTTGTGAAAACTAGAGGGATGGTTTGACGGGGGGGTTGATATATCAGTCTGTGTTTTGAAATATCAGTGTGTGCTATGGCTATCGTCTTGAATGCATTGGTGGTACATCCCCTATTGAAGAGGCCTTACCTGGATGTAGAGATTTAGACCATTACCACTCAAATGTCCAATTCCTGAGCAAGGTGATTGACAGGATAGTGGTTGTCCTGTTACAGATGTTATTTAAGAAGTAGATAGCCTCATACCTAAACATACACTGAAACAATCTAGTCATTCTTACTAAAGACTTTCTTTGAGAGAGAGAGAGAGAGACTGGAGGGTGCTACTTTGTTGATTCTTGAAAACTCTTGACATATTTTGATACTGTTCACCAGAATATCCTTCCGCATGGGTTCTGTGGGTTCCAGGTATAAGGCTTTTGGTGACACTGGTTCTGCTCCCATCTTCAGGATCATGAGAGCATCATTGGGACACTTCTACTTGGCTGTATGGTAGTTATGGTATAAGATCCTGCAAGGTCCCATCTTGCCTCTCATGCTATTTAGCATCTAGATGAAATCACTGGGGGTGCCATCTGGAGATCTGCACTGGAATGAAGACTATGGGCCTATACAGACTGCCAGAAATAATCCAGCTTGAGACCAGTTTAACTGCCCTGGCTCAATGCTAGGGAATCATGGGAACTGTAATTTATTGTGGCACCGAGGTCTCTGACAGAGAAGGCTCAATGACTCAGAAAAAATACAATTCCCATGATTCCCTAGCACTGAGCCAGGACAGTTAAAGTGGTCTCAAACTTGATTATCTCTGGCAGTCTGTATAGGTCCTAAGTCTTCATTCCACCTGAATCAAGACATAGTGCGAAAGTGCTGGATTGGTGCCCAAAGACACTGGTGACCTTGTTGTTTTCTTGTTAACTGCCTTCCAGTTGATCTCGACTCATGGCAGTCCTATGGATGAGACATCTCCAAGCCCCTCATTCCTCCACTGCTCTGCTTAATTCCTGCAACCCCTTAATACCCATGACCTCCTTAATAGAGTCCATTCATCTAGCACAGGAGTCGGCAACCTATGGCCCACGGGCTACACCCATCCCACCGAGGCCTGCCAATCGCACCCTGCCTGGTCCTGCCACTGCCGCTGCCACCACCACCGCCGCCTTTCGCAGCCACGGGGGTCCTCTGGGGTGCCATTTTGTGTTCCAAAATGGCGCCCAGAGTCTCGTGCGACCTTTCCCATCCTGCCCCACGACGGGAAAGTTCACGCAAGACTCCGGGCACCATTTTGGAACACAAAACGGCGCCCTGGAGGATCCCCACGGCTGCTGTGCCCTGGAGGACACCCACTGCCGCAGCGGGCCTCTCCAAGGCCTGGCACGGTCAAGGGAGCCCTCCTGGGGGACTCCCGTGGCCACGCTGGGCCTCTCCGAGGTCTGATGCGGCCAAGGGAGCCCTCCTGGGAGTGCACCACAGCGGTGGTAGTGCGCACGCGTGCACACGCGCACCACCGCAGCCCGGGGGGCATCGGGGGACAGGGGGGCCGGGCCCACCCCCAAAAAGGTTGCCAACCCCTGATCTAGCATGTGGCCTTCCTCTCTTCCTACTTCCCTCCACCTTTCCCAGCATTATTGTTTTTTCCAATGAGTCTTCTTTTCTCATGATGTATGTAGTCTCCGTTTGGTCATCTTGGCTTCCAGGAAGGTTTCTGGCTTGATCTGCTCTAGGACCCACTTGTTTGTCCTTTTGGCTGTCTATGGGATCCACAGTGCTCTTCTCCAGCACTACATCTCAAATGAGTTGATTTTTTTCCTATCATCTTTCTTAATTGTCCAGCTCTCACATCCATATATGGTAATAGGGAATAAAATGGCTTGTATGATTCTAACTTTTGTGCTGAGTTGTATATCTTTGCATTTTACAGTTAAATAATGATAATATGATAGCTTTATGCCTAGGTGATTTCCAAGTCAGGGCATGATTTGGATAGTGACTATGATGGAGCAAGTGCATGGATGGTCTGGGGTTACTCCCTTGATTTCAATATGGAAAGAGATTTTGTAGCACCTTTGAGACTAACTGAAATAAAGAAGTTGGCAGCATGAACTTTTGTAGACTTACTTCCTCAGATACATATACAGTGCACCTTGCTATCCTCAGAGTATCCGTTCCAGACCCCTCCCCCATGGATAGCAAAAAATATGGGACCTTAAGTCCCATTCTTTTCAATGGGCATGTGTTCCCACTTGCATTGTCACGGGCACGTGTGCCCATTGAAAAAGCCAGGGGCTTTCCATCTGAGGAAGCTCAAACCACAGATGGCAAGCCCGCGGTTGGCACAGGAACACTGTATATGCATCTGAGGAAGTAGACTAAAGTCTATGAAAGCTTATGCTGCCAACTTCTTTATTTCAGTTAGTCTCAAAGGTGCTACAAAAGCTCTCTACATACTGATTCAACAGACTAACATGGCTATATCTTTGAATTCTTCACCTTGATTTCAAGTTATTGTTGGAGGCTAGGTAGACCCAGTAGTTTTATGGGTTTAGTATTTCTATACTGGTGGTGCACAAGCACTACATGGTGCAAGATGTGAACATTATCACACTTGATCTTAGCCAAAAGTCTGAGAAGCGATAAGATGTGAATATTATCACAGAAGTTTTGAAATGTCTGTGCTGGGGGCATGCTGAAGTACTATGACTTTGTGCTAGCATACAAAGACCTAATGGTACAGGATCCAGGTATAGGAGGGCCCACCTTCCTGAATATTGACCAATCCAAGATTTAAGATTGACTGTGAAGTTTTTATTTGTGGTTTCTTTGGTCAGTGAGGACATCACATACATGCACCATGTACCCAGCTATATAACTTATTTTTGGTAGAAATTTGTCTTTACCCCATGCAGCTGTCATTTACAGATTTCTGGAACAGAGGCAGTTACTTTTGTTTGTTTTCCTGCAGATAGAGCTTATGGTTTTACTGTATTTTATTATATATTTGTGATTTTAGAATTATGGGTTTAATTGTGTTGTCTCTAAGCTGCCAGCTACCCTGGCCTCATTGGTTGGGGGGTGGGGGTGGCGGCTATAAATCAGATCAAATGAATAAATAAAAAGGAAATAGTGCATTTTATCCTATTTTAATCCACAGTGTCCTGTTTAGATGTGACTGTATTCATTCAATGTGTGGCTAAAGCTGAACTATAAATAATGGAATCTAACCTCTATTGTCACATTCACAGCATCCCTAAGAATGCATGCAGCCAGGAAATAGCATATTTCTAGCCCTGAAGGACATGGGGATCCTAAACAAAGGCAGAGATATTGCCATGTATACATTTCCACAACTTAAGGAGGGACAACCAACTCTACAGAGGATCTAGGAGCACAGTGATACTCCTGAAGGTAGAAGGGATTCTTGCACAGTGAAAGAAACCTTGAATTCCTCACAACTCCATATCTCTTCCTATGGATGGCAGTCCCACCTCCCCAATCCACCCATGACTCCAAGCTCCCTTTTAACAGTGTCACAGTGGCAGGTTTCCAACTGAGCTCCATCTCTGACCACTAAGATACAATATTAAGGAAAGGCATGTAGCAGACAGCATAGACAGGCAGTATGGTGGGGCATAATATAGGCAACTTGTGGTCTTTCAGATATTGTTGGGCTATAATTCCCATCAGCCCTAGCAGGCTAATGGTGAGAAGTGTTGGGGTTGGAGTCCAGCATCCCTTGGAGGTTCACAAATTCCCGATCCTTGATCTAGTGCTTGGAAAGTTGGAAGCTCATGAAGCTCATTGAGTAATCTTGGGCAAATCATCCCATCTCAGCCTAAACTACCCCACAGGATTGTTGTGAAGGTCCATCATCCTGTGCAGTGAAAGAAGGATGGGATAAAAATGCAATAACTAAGTTAAACACACTTTGTTTACATACAATATATAAAGCAATATATCCAGTCTGAAAGCCTGTTTCTGTTTTCCATCAGAAAACTGGCTACCTTCTCTGGCCCCCGTTTTCTATGCTGAGCAACAGCCGGAAAATTTTAGCTGCCTAATAATGAGCTACACAGTCATACTCTCTCTTCTGCATTGCATTAGTCTATTTCTGCAGTGACTTTTTGCCCTAACCTCTGCAACAGAAGCACTGTATTCATTCCCAACCAGTTTGCTGGGGACATGAACTCATGTGAACCACCAGTGTGCACAACGCATAGGCAATATTGCTGCCTCTTTGACTCTGGTGGTGACTAATCCACTGTAAAATTAGATTAAAAGGAAACCCAGCATGCGTGTGTGTGCACTACTGCCACTTTAGCACAATGCAGGCAGCCAGTCAGCCTTCCCTGCTAGGGATTCCTGCTTATACTACCCAC